CACAAGCATAGATTTTTCTTGCAGTCAATAGTCACCCTCCCCAAGATTAATTCGTATTTATTTCGTTTGCAAAATGACGAAAGTTTTTCTCAACCTGTTTCTTACACTTGTTCTTTATCCCCTGTTCGCCTTCATTACAATAATAAACGAAATTATTCGCGGATTTGTCTCTAGTGTTTTAATCTTCTCCAGGTAAGCAAATGAATGAATTTCATTATTTTTGTATTAAGGAATCGTAGCTATGTATTCACACAGTGAAGAGATACTACAGTGACTCTGACCATGGATTTAATGCCGTGTTTCCGATTACAATTTGGAACAAAAAAAATTTTCAAAATTTAATACTGATTTTTTGATACCAATTCCAAACATTCTAAAAATTTTATCACGACATGAATTAAACCAGTGTAGTATGTCATAGCATTTTTCGCCTGCGCAACGTCTCACCTTGTTCGAATATTTACATTGGTATACTTGATAATTGAAGTTGATAAATTTTTTGAGGGATCACCAGTACCTTAAAAAATTGAAGTTCACGAGTTATTCATAAAGTGGCTTCAAAGTACAAACAAACACATATTTCGTCCCTGTTCAACTATGAAAAAATTTTAGGAGTACTTCGAGGGCAGAAGGCTTCGAGGTACAAATTACGAATTTATTGACCTGGATAATTAAGTATTCAAGGGATTCCCTTGAAGGGAACTGGAGGTGTAAATTATTTAAGTTATTTTAAAAAATTAGGAATTTCATTTTGTTTCAATTCACGAGCAATAATTATTACTTTAACAAATCATCCGTCTTTTAGTCCCAAGAGTATAATTCACTATTCTTCTTTTTTTTCTTTTCCTGGTATTAATAACGTATAAATTCATCAATAAGGTAAACATAATGACTGACACCACAGCAGTAGAGTCACACGCATAGGGATTATTTCCCATGTATTAATTCAAATTATTGAAGTGTACTCGCAACTGCTAAATTTACCATAGTCAAACGAAATGTAAACAAAATTAATTATTTCCTCCCGTAGAGAAACCCTTGTCCAAGATGGAATAGATAATATCTTCTATGCCAAACACTTAAATAATCGAGTCGTCCTCCTAGCCTTATATTCGAACAAATGTTTAAACTCCGCCGACTTAGCACACGACCGCGGTAAGTTTTATGACTGCATTTTCAACAAACGGGACGCAGAGGGCAAATTGATATACGGCAAGTTGACGCACACTGCAGTCATCAAATTTGGGTACGCATGTCTACGGGATGACTCTAAAATTTTTGAATTGAAAAACCATGTCAAGGTTTACGACGTCGTGACCCCATCTAACGGCGAATTCTTTACTGAGGTGGAACTTTTATTGGAAATTTGTAAGCAAGATCTAGAATGAATATAAGTATGTAAATTTATTTGGTACATATCAAAATTCAAAATTGTTCCTTGTATTTTCAATATCCCCATATTGCCGCGTGGCGGAACAAAATAGCTGTGTCTTGTAGAATTTTGCCGCAAATTACATAAATTAAAAACATGTTTTTCTAGAATTATTTCGTTCACAAAATAAAAATTCAATTTCGAATTATTTTGACCATTTCTGTTTTTAATAATTATTTAAGATATAAAAATCCTCGAGAAAAATCGAATTTACAAATTCGTTTAAACCGAATTATCTTATTTTAGAGTATGAATTTTTGAGCACAAGTATTTTTAGTTGTTTCAATTTGCGTCAAAAAAAGCAACAGCGATTTAAAAATTCAAGATTTTAGCTAGAAAAATAATTCAAAATGCCTCCACTTGATAAAATGAAAAAAAACAAAAACACGGCTCCTCTTATTTTTGATGGCGAACATACTAATGTTAGCTCTATCAAGATCTGACTTTTACATGAAAAAAATGTACATTTTTAGTCCCACTCCTGTCAAAAACGATGCCTTGTACGAAACCACAATGGGAATTTGTTATTTCCTCGCGTGCAAATGAAGGATGGAAAATTTGGGTCAATTCGTATCTTCCGATGGGATCATTCATACATGGACGGTGTCTCCGTGGGAATCCTATTGGCAGACCATGTATTCGATGCCTGGCCGTCGAAAGAGACTCCATGGATTGTGAATCTCGAAAAGTCATGCATAGACCCATGGAAATTTCTTTACATAAAACTATGGGCATGGTTCCATCTCCCCTTGATATTTGCGGGGGACTTGTACACAAAACTGAACTCGGCCAAGATTTGGGACCAGTGCGATAAGTTTCTTAAAGTGGAGGGATACACGGGAAAAAATAAGATATTCTCGACGCGGCGCTCAATTCAAATAAAAGATATACAACGAGAAGTTGCTAAAGATATGAAGTCTACGATTGCGACAGCACTTGGGAAAACGTTGCGTTCTTGGAATTATGAAGGAAAAGATAAGTATGGTGTCTTCTTAGATAAAATATAGCTCTAATTCTTGCGGAAGTTAACAAAAATATTTTTATACAAAATTTAATTTATGAAAAATATTAGCTTTGGAAGTTGGAAAAAAGTGGATAACTTAATTTTGAAGTTTTTATGCTTTAAGCATACTTAAGTTTACAAAACTAATATTATAAAATTAACTATAAAAACTTATATTTTTATCTTTTATTAGAGGTTTAATTATTCTTTCTGGGATTTGGATTGTGTGCTCTAAGCGGGATCATCTTTTGTCTGTTCTTTTAAGACTTGAATACATTAGATTAGGGGTTTTTCTTTTATTATTAGCATTATTGAGAAAAGGAGACTTTTTCTATTCTTTAGTTTATATTACTTTTACAGCATGTGAGGGTGCTTTAGGTCTTTCTATTTTAGTGACGATAAGACGGACTCATGGAGGCGATTATTTTAAGTCTTTTAATTTTTTTTAAAATTTATGATAGTAAATTTATTTTTTATTTTTTATTTATAGGGTTTTTAAAGAAGTTTAAATTAAATTTAATTTATGTATTAACATTTATTTCTGTTTATCTAGTAATTTACACATTAGTGGGTCAGCCAGAAACGTTTTACTTAGACTCTTTATTTTATTATGACGGGATTAGATTTATTTTAGTGTCTCTAAGAGCTTGGGTTAGAATTTTAATAATTTTTTCTAGATATAAAATTTTTCGTTTCAAGGAGCATACTTTTTATTTTTATAGTTTTGTTTTTTTGTTACTTTTTATTTTACTATTGACTTTTTTTTCGGGTAACTTAATATTTTTTTATTTTTTTTTTGAGGTTTCTTTAATCCCTACACTTTTAATTATTATGGGTTGGGGCTACCAACCTGAGCGTGTTCAAGCAGGAATATATTTTTTATTTTATACGCTCACAGCGTCGTTACCTTTACTTTTATTAATTATGTACTTATATATAATTGGAGGTAGTGTTTCTTTATTTTACAGGGAATTACTTTTTTATTCATTTTCAGGTTTTAATTTCTTTGTTATTACTGCTTTTATGGGTTCGATAGCCTTTTTAGTTAAACTCCCTATGTATTTTACACATTTGTGACTCCCTAAAGCTCATGTTGAGGCCCCCGTGGCAGGCTCGATAATTTTAGCTGGGGTTTTATTAAAGTTAGGGGGCTACGGTCTTATACGAGTTCTTAGCATCACAGGGGTTTCAGTTATAAAGTTTAGCCCTTACTTTATAGGGCTAAGATTAGCTAGAATAATGTTTACAGGGATCTTGTGTTGTCGTTTGAATGATTTTAAAGCTTTAGTAGCGTACTCTTCAGTAGCCCATATAGCTATGGTGATTGGGGGGTTAATAACTCTCTATTCATGGGGATTTATGGGGGCCTTAGTGATGATAGTAGCTCATGGAGTTTCCTCTTCAGGTTTATTTTGTATGGTTAACTTATACTATGAACGAACTGGGAGCCGAAGTTTTTTTATTAATAAAGGGCTTATTTTAAGTTTTCCTATTTTTTCTTTACTAATATTTTTTCTCTGTGCGTCGAATATTGCTGCCCCTCCGACTATTAATTTATTATCAGAGATTTTTTTGATAGCTAGAATTATGAGTTACGATTATATTATACTTTTATTCTTTCCCCTAGGCTCCTTTTTAGGGGCGGTTTTTACATTATTTATATTTTCGTTTTCACAACACGGGCCTTCTTATAACTCACTATATGGGTTTGTTCATTCTAATGTTCGTGAGATTCACACTATTAGACTTCACATTGTCCCAGTAAATTTTTTAGTTTTAGGGTCTAATTTTATTTTTACACTTTACTAAATAATTTCATTTAAATAGTTTAAGAAAAATTTTAGTTTGTGATTCTATAGATGGGGGAGCCCTTTAAGTAATATTTTATTTGGTTTTACCTTTTTATTTAGGGGTTTTATTATTAGTGGCTAGCTTAATCAGTATGCGGTTTGGTCTTTTATATTTTCTTTCTGCTGAAACTATATTTGTTGAATGAGAAATATTTTCTTTTAGATCAACTTCTATTATTATAATTCTTATTTTTGATTGAATAAGTTTGAGATTCACAGGGCTCGTAATATTTATTTCTTCTATGGTACTTTTCTATAGAATCATATATATAGAGGGGGACAAGTTTTTAACTCGGTTTATTTTTTTAGTATATTTCTTTGTCTTGAGTATGGTCTTTATAATTTTAAGCCCTAACATAATTAGAATCTTATTAGGGTGGGACGGACTCGGTCTTGTGTCGTATTGTTTAGTAATTTATTACCAAAATGTAAAAAGAGCAAATGCGGGTATAATTACAGTTCTCTCTAACCGTGTGGGTGACGTAGCTATTCTTTTATGCATTTCATGGCTACTGAATTTTGGTAGATGGAATTTTTTTTATTCGCAGTTTGTCTATTCGTACGAAGTAGTTTCTTTTATAGTTATCCTAGTAATTTTAGCAGCTATAACAAAAAGAGCTCAAATACCCTTTTCTGCTTGGCTACCTGCGGCTATGGCAGCCCCCACCCCAGTTTCGGCTCTTGTGCATTCATCTACTTTAGTTACAGCTGGGGTGTATCTATTAATTCGGTTTAATTACACTTTAGGTATTAATAATTTTTTATTATTTATTGGTATGTTGACTATATTTATATCAGGTTTAGGGGCTAATTTTGAGATAGATTTAAAAAAAATTATTGCCTTATCAACACTAAGTCAGCTCGGGTTAATAATAACATCTTTGGGGCTGGGCTTCTACGAGTATGCCTTTTTCCATCTTTTAACTCATGCTATATTTAAATCCCTATTATTTCTATGTGCTGGGGTGTTTATTCATTCTATAGGGGACACTCAGGATATTCGAGCGATAGGAGGGTTAATGATTTCTTGCCCAGTTACATCTTTGTACTTCATTATTTCTTCAATAGCTCTTTGTGGGTTTCCGTTTTTATCAGGATTTTTTTCTAGGGATATAATTATTGAATTTTTTTTTCAAGGGAAAATAAATTTAATTATGGGATGCTTAATAGTTTTATCTACATTGTTTACATTAACGTACTCCGTTCGCCTTTTGTATTTTTCTTTCTTTAATAACATGGGTAACCGGTATTTTTTAAGTTTAGCTGAGAGAATTAATATGCTAATTCCGATAACATTTTTAATTTTTATGTCAGTTTTGGCTGGCGGGTGGCTTAGAGTTTATCTATTTCCTATGAATTTTATTTTTCTACCCCTGTGGCTTAAATTATTGGTCGTTACTATAATTTTTAGTTTTTTCTTTATTTATTTTTTCTTAGTAGACTTTAAGGTCATAAAGAAAATTAGTTCTACCTCAGGTTTAGCCTATTTTTTAGGTTCTATGTGACTACTTCCTTTTATTTCTACTTTTGCTCTGACTCCTATTATTAAGTACGGCGTAAAAATTTTAAATCTTGTGGACCAAGGTTGAGTGGAATTTTTAGGGGGGCAAGGATTTATTGACAAATCTAAGTTTATTTCTTCCAAGGCAGATGTATTAAATTCCGTAAGAATGAAATTCTTCATATTTAGTTTCTTTATGGGTGTATTGGTTTTATTTTTAGCTTAGTTTATATTTTTATAGCTTATATAAAAGAGCACTACGTTGAAGTTGTAGGGGAAGACTGAGTCTTGAAAATGTATCCCATAAAAATATATTTATTTATTTAAACATTGAAAATGTTTTGTTTTTAATTAAACTAAAATAGAAAAAAGAAAATAACGGAGTTTAACCGTTAAAATTTTAAGTTAGCGGCTTAAATTTGGCTCCCTTTTCTTATTAAAGAGGCTGAGTGCCTAATAGCCATTAACAGTGGCTCGCCGCTTCTTTGGCTTCCTTTAAAATAAGGGGAGAACCCAAATTTTCAGGTCGAAACTGACCGCGATTTTTCGCTTCTTACTAGTGTAAGATAGACTTTTACAGTACTTTCTGAATGCAACCCAGATGTTATTTTTAACTACAATCCTTTATTTTATTGATATACAATATTATTTTCAGTCTAAGGCTCCTTGGTTCCATTCATGTAGAAGTCCCATTAAAAGAATTAAGATGAAGAATGTTAATAGAGTTAGAGTGTGGGCTCAATTTATTGATGTAAGAATAACTGGCAGGGGGATAATTAGAGTAATTTCTACATCAAAAATTAAAAATACCACTGCGATTAAATAGAACCGAAGAGAAAAAGGAAGTCGTGAGGATCTTTTGGGGTCGAATCCGCATTCGAATGCTGAAGGTTTTTCTCGTTCTTGTATATTTTTTTTTGCAATAAAAGAGTTTAATAAAATTAAAATTGTGGGTAGCCCGAATGAGATAGTAAATATTATTAAAATTATATTTATCTAACAAATTTGAACTTTCTAATTGGAAGTTAGGTGTACTTTTTATACTATAAATATACTCTAACCTCCCCATCAGTAGATACTTATGTAAAGAAAAAGTCACACCACGTCAACAAAATGTCAGTATCAAGCAGCTGCTTCAAAACCAAAATGGTGATTTCTTGAGAAGTGACTTTTTATATGTCGTGAGAGACACACAGTAAGAAATGTTGTGCCAATAATTACGTGGATCCCATGAAATCCTGTTGCTATAAAAAAAGTTGACCCATATGCTGAGTCTGAGATTGTAAAAGATGCTTCTCAGTATTCAAGAGCTTGAAGTGAAGTAAAATATACACCTAGGGTGACTGTTAATAGCAGCCCTAGGAATGCTTGGGAAAAATTATTTTCTATAATTCTGTGGTGGGCTCAAGTTACTGTTACGCCTGAACCAAGAAGAATAATAGTATTTAAGAGGGGGACTTGAAATGGGTTAAACGGGAGTACCCCCTTAGGGGGTCATATTAAACCGATTTCTATAGAAGGGGCAAGACTTCTATGGAAGAATGCTCAGAAAAACGAGAAAAAAAATAATACTTCAGATGTAATAAATAAAATTATACCTCAGCGTAATCCCTTGGCTACAATTGAAGTGTGGAGTCCCTGAAAGGTCCCCTCTCGTCTGATATCACGCCATCATTGAATGCAAGTTAGGGCTATAATTATTATGCCGAATAAAAATAAATTTATATTTATTTCTTGGAACCATTTTACAATGCCTGTAGTTAAAATGAAAGCGCCCGTGGCCCCAGTAAGGGGCCACGGACTTAGGTCTACTAAGTGGAATGAGTGGTCTCTTTTTATTATCATTACTTATTTAGTGGGGTGTAATTTCTCTAGCGTATAGCGTTGATAACACCGCAAAAACGTAAGATTGAATTATAGCTACAGCAGATTCTAGGGTTAATAAAAGAATTTGGGTTAAGATTAATCTAGCTAAGATTAAGTTAGAGGCGGCTGCTGTTTGGTTGCCCAAAAGAGTTATTAATAGGTGTCCTGCTACCATATTAGCTATAAGTCGGACTGCCAAAGTTAAAGGTCGGATTACATTTCTAATTGATTCGATTAACACTATAAATGGTATTAATAAATTTGGAGTGCTCTGTGGCACTAAATGGGCGAACATATGTTTGGTATAATTTAATCAGCCGTACATCATAAATGATAATCATAGAGGTAATCTTAAAGTTAAGGTCAAAACTATATGTCTTGAAGCTGTAAAAATGTATGGAAATAAACCCATAAAATTATTTATTAAAATAAATATCAATAAAGAGATAAATGGGATAGTTCTTCCTACTGATGAGTGGGGCCCTAGCAGTATTTTAAATTCATCATGAAGTTTTTTGCAAATTTTTAAGGTTGATAAAAAAAATTTATTAGGGGTGACTCAAAACATAGGGGTTAGAATCATTAAAACAATTAATGATCTAATTCAGTTTAAAGATACAAAAATTATAGATGAAGGATCAAACACTGAAAATAAATTAGTTATTATCATTTTCAATTTATATGGCCGGTTTCGTTGCCACTAAGTGGGGTATTAGTTTGACCAACGTTGGCATTCATATTAGTATTTTTAATATTAGAAATTTTAATTACAGATAGAAGGAATAGCCAAGAGAACAATAAAAAAAGAGGTAGCCATATAATGGGTGCTATTTGAGGAATAAAAAAATGTTTTTAAACCACTTAGTCTTGACAAAACTATATTATAAATAATGTTAACTAATTTTTTCATTAAAAACATTTGTTAAATTGTTATGAAACGGTTTAAGAGACCGACGCTTACTTTCAGCCACTTAATGAATAGTTTATTTAGATATATTTTTTACTCATTTAATGAAGTTTTTTCCTGGAATTGTTTCAATTACGATGGGCATAAATCTATGATTTGCTCCGCAAATTTCTGAGCATTGCCCGAAAAATAGTCCAGGGCGGTTTGTATAAAAATTAACTTGGTTTAGACGTCCTGGCACAGCGTCAGCTTTAATTCCCATTCTTGGGACTGTTCATGAGTGTAAAACATCAGCAGCTGTAATTAAAGTGCGGACTTGGGAGTTCAGAGGGGCTATTATTCGGTTATCAACGTCAATTAAACGAAATATATTTATTTCTATTTCATTTGACGGGATTATGTATGAGTCAAATTCTAAGTTAATAAAATCTGAATATTCGTAAGATCAATATCATTGATGTCCGATAGTTTTAATGGTGATTGCCGGGTTATAGACCTCATCTAATAAATATAATAAGCGAATAGAAGGAAGGCCGATAAAAATTAAAATAAAACTTGGGATAATAGTTCAAAATAATTCTAAACCTTGGGATTCTATTATATGTTGGTCAATATTTGTGTTGTGTATAGTTGAGAATAAATTAAATCCTACAATAGAAATAATTAAAATCAAAATTGTTAGGGTGTGGTCATGGAAAAAGATTAGTTGTTCTATTAAAGGTGAAGAAGCGTTTTGGAACCCTAAAGCCGCTCAAGTTGCAATTTTTAAAAGAATAAATTATTCATTTTTGAATTTTAAGTTACTGCACTAATCTGCCACATTAAAAATGTGTGACTAAGGATAGCTCCGAGTATGAGTGTTCGGATGGGGGTGTATTTTGAAGTCATTCAATTGATGAAGAGTAAATAAAGTTATGGACTCTAGGCGGGCAGTCGAAATAGATTCCCAAATAATAAAGCTGAATAGAATAACGGCAGCTACTGAGGTATACTTCCTAACGAAGATAATACGTTTCAAGTAGTAAATGCATCGGGGTAGTCTGAATAACGTCGAGGCATGCCGTTTAGTCCTAAAAAGTGTTGGGGGAAAAATGTTATATTAACCCCAATGAACATAGTATAAAATTGAATTTTTAGTCACTTAGGATTTAAATTTACTCCTGTAAATAAAGGAAATCAATGAATTAAGCCTCCTATAATTGCAAACACAGCCCCCTATAGATAAAACATAGTGAAAGTGGGCGACTACATAGTAAGTGTCGTGAAGTACGATGTCAAGTGAAGAGTTAGCTAAAATAATTCCTGTGAGACCCCCCACAGTAAATAAAAATACAAAGCCTATGGCTCATATTAAAGTTGGGGTGATAATTAAAGCTCTTCCTTGAAGTGTCGCACTCAGCTAAAAATTTTCACTCCTGTGGGGATGGCAATAATTATAGTGGCGGCTGTAAAGTAAGCACGAGTGTCTACATCTATTCCCACAGTAAATATATGATGTGCTCAAACGATAAATCCTAGAAGACCGATTGCTATTATCGCGTAAATTATACCTATTGACCGAAAGTTTGTTTTTTACCTCTTTCAAATGTAATAATATGTGAAATTATGCCAAACCCGGAAGAATTAAAATATAAACTTCTGGGTGACCAAAAAATCAAAACAAGTGTTGGTACAAGATAGGGTCGCCGCCCCCGGCAGGGTCGAAAAATGAAGTATTTAGGTTACGATCTGTTAAAAGTATTGTAATGGCTCCAGCAAGAACTGGAAGGGAAAGCAGGAGAAGGATAGCGGTTAAAAAAACCGATCAAACAAATAAAGGAGTTCGATCCCAAGTCATACCCTCAACTCGTATGTTGATGATAGTTGTAATAAAATTTACTGCCCCCAAGATTGAACTTGCCCCAGCAAGGTGAAGTCTGAAAATTGATAAATCTACAGAAGCTCCAGCGTGGGCGATGCCTCTTGATAAAGGGGGGTATACAGTTCACCTGTGCCTGCTCCTCTTTCCACCAGTCCTCCTGATAAAAGTAAGATTAATGAAGGTGGAAGAAGTCAAAAACTTATATTATTTATTCGAGGGAACGCCATATCTGGGGCGCCGATTATTAGTGGAACTAGTCAGTTTCCAAACCCCCCAATTATGATAGGCATAACTATGAAGAAAATTATAATAAAAGCATGGGCTGTTACTATTACATTATAAATTTGGTCATCTCCAATAAAAGAACCTGGTTGACCTAATTCCAAGCGGATTAAAACTCTAAATGCGGTGCCGACCATAGCAGATCAAACTCCAAAAATTAAATACATAGTCCATATCTTTGTGGTTGGTTGAAAAAAGTCAACGTTTCAGAATAAAATGGCTGAGTTTAGGTGTTAAACTGTAAATTTAATTACGAGTGGTGTACTCTTTTATTATAATGTTATGTATTCAATTATGAGTTAGGATTGCAAATCTTAAAGTGGCGTTAAGCTCTTAACTTAAAGTTTAAGGCTCCCATCTTAATTAAAGCTTTGAAGGCTTTTAGTTTTATTAACTTAAAACTTTAAATTAATAAAACTAAATTTGATAAAATTAAATTTCCGGTTAGGGAGAAAATGATGAATTTATTAATTTTTTTTACTCGATGAGATTTTTTTTTCAGGGAGGCTAGCTGTTAAAGAATTAAAAAATATTTTAGTGTAAAAATAAAGTGAAACTAAAGAAGACGCAACCAATGTAATTATAATTACTATGGGGAAAGTTTTTACAGCTACTGTTAAGGCGATTAATTTTCTTAAAAACCCTAAGAACGGGGGGAGCCCCCCAAGTGATATAATTAGAGTTCTTAGTACTAATTTCGTTTTAAGATTAATTTTAGAGGAATTAATTTCTTTAATTTTTTTAAAATTTAAAAAATTTATAACGAAAATGATTGGTGATAAAACAAAAAAATAAATTAAAAAATAAAAAGTTCAAAATTTTAAAGACAAAGAGGCTACTATGAGTATTCATGCTGAGTGTGAAATCGAAGAATAGGTTAATAGAATTTTTCTACTTATTTGGTTTAGTCCTCCAAGTGCGCCAGCAGTTGCTGATATAATAATAATAAAATAAGTAAACACACTGATATTAAAATTAATAATTAATATGAATGGGGCAATTTTTTGTCAGGTGAAGATGATAAAACATTTAAATCAAGAGATGAATTCAGTAACTTGAGGAAATCAGATGTGAAAGGGGGCTAGGCCTGCTTTGATAGACAGGGCTGAAAATAAAAAAAAGTTTATTCTTTCTAAGTAATAATTTTTTATTTGAAGGGCTGTAAAGGATGCAGCTGTAATTAAAATGAAAGAAGCGACCGCCTGGGTTAAAAAATATTTGATTGCTGTCTCTGTAGATTTAAAATTAAGGTCTCTTAAAATTAAAGGGATAAATCTTATTAGGTTAATTTCTAGGCCGATTCAACAAAGAATTCATGAGTTAGACGATACTGCCATTAAAGTGCCTAAAAATGTAGTGGTTACAAATGTTAATTGATAATTTTTAAAGAACATTAAAAAGGAAGAGATTTCACTCTTATAGAAGGGGTATGAACCCTTTAGCTTATTTAGGTTACCTTTATATTAATTGTGTGTGTGGTTGGCTAGGTTCATAAAATTTATAAATTAGTTTAAATGAACATTAAATTTTGAATTTAACAGAAATAGTGCAATTCTATTATTTATAAATAAAGGTACAAATACATGATCTATTCTATCAAAATAGCCCTTTTTTCAGGCACATTATTAATTTTTTCTTAGTGCATTATAAGATGTTTTAATGTTTTTTTTTGCGTTAATGAGGTTATGTGTAGCATATGTATATATATATGTATATATATATATATGTATATATAATATATATAAATATTAATTATATGTATATGTATGGTTATTATATATATATATATATATTATTTATATATATTTATTTATATGAATATATTAGTATATACATATGCATAAATATATATATTTATTAATAAATAAAAATATCTATAAATATATATACATATTTTATATGTATAAAAAAAAAATAACGTAACCATCAATATACTTAAAATTAATAATAAAAATTAACGAATAAATAATCAAAGATTCATCTAAAATAATCAATCAATTAAGGCTATAATAATATGTTTAAATTTATTATATATATAAATCTACATATATATATATAAAATATTTAATATAATATTTTTTTAACTATTATGCTTAAAAAAATAGTTAAAAAAATATGGGGGTTTATACTTTGGGCAGAAAAGTTTGATTTTAGCTTAATGATTTATTTTATAAATTTTATACATGTAATAGGGCAGTATTTTATATTATGAAACTAATTTAGGCATAAAAATTTATGTAAATTCTGAATAAATTTTGTGCCAGCATTCGCGGTTATACCTTACGGTTTAATAAATCTTCTTAGAAAATTTAATATAAAAGTTATTTACAGTAAAAAATTAAGTGAAATTGAGTTTTATTTTATGTAAACCTATATTTTAATTAAAACTTTAATTAAAAGACCTGGATTAGATACCCAGTTATTTATTTTATAAAATATCTAAGGTAGTAATTTTTAAAACCTAAAGAATTTGGCGGTATTTTATTCTTATTAGAGGAACCTGTTAGTTAAAAGATACTACACTATAATTAACATTAAATTTTCTTATATACCGTTGTCTTAAGAATTAATTTGTAAGTTTTTTCTAAAATTTTTATATGATTTAAGTCAAATCAAGGTGTAGAATTTTAATGGCTCAATGGGTTACATTTATTTAAATAATGGTTTTATATTTGGTAATTATAGATAAATTGGATTTAAGAGTAATTTTATGTTAATAAAATTGAATTTAGCTCTAAAATATGTACATATCGCCCGTCGCTCTAGTTATAAAATTAGATAAGTCGTAACAAAGTATATTTTCCGGAAGGAGGATCTTGATTAATGTAATATAGCTTAAGTAAAGCATTTCATTTACACTGAGCTTATTTAGAATTGACTCTAATATTATGATTTTTAAAATTATAACTTTTTAATTTAATTAATTTTTTAGTATAGTAAAGAAAATTTAATTTTATATAGTCCGTAGGGGGAAGTTGAAATAACATTAAATATAAAAAATTTTAAAAGTACTCAAAAGGTACCTTTTGTATTAGTGTGAGTTTAATTAATTTTTTATAAAATTTTCTCGAAAAATAAAGAGTAATAAATTATTTTGTATTTGTTGTTGAATTAACATTAAAAATTATTTATAGAATTGAGATTTTAAGTTAAGTCACGATTGTTTAACAAAAACATTTCTTTTTTATAAAATAAAAAGTATAACCTGCCCACTGAAAATTTAAGGGCCGCGGTATTATGACCGTGCAAAGGTAGCATAATCACTAGCCTTTTAATTAGAGGATTGTATGAATGGTTGAACGTGGCTTTGTTTTATTTATTTAAATATATTGAAATAAAATTTTAAGTGAAAATGCTTAAATGACTAATTAGACGATAAGACCCTATAGAGCTTTATATATGTATTCTGTTAAGTATTAAAATTTTTATTAGTTAATAACCAGGTTGTATATTTTATTGGGGCAATAAAAGAATAAAATTAACTTCTTATTAATAAATTTTATTTAATTAATTAACTTCTAAGTATAAAATTTAATAGAAGTTACCTTAGGGATAACAGCGTTATTAAAGTTGAGAGTTCTTATCGACACTTTAGATTGCGACCTCGATGTTGAATTAAAAATTCTTTGAGGGGCAGCATTTTTATTAGATGGTCTGTTCGACCATTAAATTTTTACATGATTTGAGTTCAAACCGGTGTGAGCCAGGTTGGTTTCTATCTTTTAGTTTAATTTTAGTGTTTTAGTACGAAAGGATTAAGCATTAAATTATTTATTTACTAAGTTGGCAGATTAGTGCAATTGATTTAGAATCTTTATATAAAATTAAATTTTACTTAGTAGTGTTTTTAAATTTATTTATAATAATTTTTTCTTATTTATTTTTAGTGGTTGGGGTTTTGGTTAGAGTAGCATTTATAGTGTTATTTGAGCGTAAAATTTTAGGTTACATTCAGATTCGTAAGGGTCCTAATAAGGTTGGCTTCACTGGAATTTTACAATCTTTTGGGGATGCAATTAAATTATTTATTAAAGAGCAAACTATTCCTCTTCTTTCTAATTTAATTCCTTTTTATTTTGCCCCAGTTTTTTCTCTATTTATAGTTATTTTGCTTTGAAGAGTTGTTCCACTTAGTTCTTCTTTTATTAATTTTTATTTAGGGGGTTTATTTTTTTTGTTGTACTAGATTTGGTGTTTACACTTTAATGGCCAGAGGGTGGTCATCTAATAGAAATTATGCTTTACTTGGCGCAACCCGTGGAGTGGCGCAAACAATTTCATATGAAGTCAGAATAGCTTTAATTTTTTTGTCTTTTATTTTTGTGACTGGTTCTTTTAATTTGAATGAATTTCATTTATACCAAAGTTTAGTTTGATTTATTTTAGTGTCATTTCCTATTTTTTTATGTTGGCTAGGTTCTATTCTTGCGGAAACTAATCGCACTCCTTTTGATTTTGCTGAGGGAGAGTCTGAGTTAGTATCCGGCTTTAATATCGAGTACGGGAGTGGTGGGTTTGCTCTTTTATTTTTAGCTGAATATGGTAGAATCATTTTTATAAGTTATTTAGTTAGTTGTATATTTTTTGGAGGCGGTGTGAGAGGCTTATTTTTAGGACTCATTGGCTTTTTTTGTTATTGATTTATTTGAGTTCGGGGCACTTTACCTCGGTTTCGGTATGACAAATTAATATATTTAGCCTGAAAATCCTTTCTTCCTGTCTCTCTTAATTTAATAATTTTTTTTATTATTATAAAGTTAAGGTTTGCTAAAGCTAGGAGTTGATGCAGGTGTCCTAACATAATAGAGAACAATAAAAAATTAATGATTTTGGTATTTTTTGTTTTCTTTAAGATTTCATGGGCGTAATTCTTAACTTAAATTATTAGGAGGCTTAAACTCCTGTAAATTATTTTCAAGATAATTGTTTTATTTAAGCTAAATAATTATTTACATTATTTAAGAATTTTTTCTCAGGTTAAAGTGACTAAAGGTCTTGTCAAAAAATATAAAAAATATATTAAAGTTAAGATTTGCCCTACAAGAATATAAGGGTCTTCGGCCGGTCGGGCTCCAATTCAAGTTAATAAGATTACAATATTAATCATTAATCAAAAATTTATTTGATTAAAAGGATTAAATTGAGTTCTTTTTAATTTATTTTTTTGAGTAATAGGTAAAATTAATAAAATGGCAATAGACACTACTAGAGCAGCAGCCCCTCCTAATTTATTAGGGATCGACCGAAGGATAGCGTAAGCGAACAAAAAATATCATTCAGGTTGGATATGAACGGGGGTAACTAAAGGATTTGCAGGGATAAAATTTTCTGTGTCTCCTAGAAGATAGGGGTGTATTAAAGCTAGTGATACTAATCCTCATATAAGCATAATAAACCCAAATAAGTCTTTAAATGAATAATAAGGGTGAAAGGGGATCCTATCTGAGTTGGAATTAACTCCTAGGGGGTTATTTGATCCTGTTTGATGTAAAAATAGAAGGTGCACTAATGTTATTCCGGCGATAATGAATGGTAGAACAAAGTGGAATGTAAAAAATCGCGTGAGTGTAGCGTTATCTACCGCGAATCCCCCCCAAATTCACTGTACTAATATTAAACCTATATAAGGGATTGCTGACAATAAATTTGTAATTACTGTGGCGGCTCAAAATGACATTTGTCCTCAAATTAATACATACCCTATGAAAGCAGTTGCTATCACTAAAAATAAGATTAAGACTCCTATCGTTCAAGTCATTATATAAGTATACGATGAATAGTAGATCCCTCGTCCTACATGGAGGTACAGGGCAATGAAGAATATAGAGGCTCCATTGGCGTGTATGACTCGTAGAAGCCATCCGTAGCTTACGTCTCGGGTGATATGAGCTACTGTATTGAATGAGATGGTTACATCTGCTGTGTAATGTATACCCGTCCCTTGAAAAAGGACCTTCTCCCTCAAGTGGGCCTGTTTTTAAGGGCACGTCGTAATCCTGGCAAACCGCTCCTGTGGATATGTAGTTAATTTTCTTGTTAGGGTTCGATGCCAGAGCGAATTGGATGACATTCCTTGTTCCCTCAACATTTATGGATTTCATGGCGGCATAGCTTTTAAACATGTGGACATCGGCGGCACAGTGGAATATGGTGTGGACTTTTTCAACGAGATGACAATAGCTGGGATTGTCTTGGATGCCCAACATTGGGAGGGATACATCTCCAGAGAGTGGTGTAATTTTGATGGATTCGTTGTTTTTTAAAAGGTCTGATAAATTGGATTGGAATAACTCTGTCCATTTGAGGAATAGTCTTTCTTTGGCGGTATAATTTGAACCATTTAGTGTTCTTATGAGGCAGAATATTTCAAAGGAAGAGTTATTCACTTTGTTCGATAGCATGATTTCTAGAAGTAAAAATGTCGCCAAATTACCGGGCGTTCCTGTAATTAGAATTCCAATAGTTGATCCCTTAATTCCTTGAAGAGGTTGCTGTGGCAAATTGAGAAGAACTTTTCTCAATTCTGATTTTACTTCCTCACGCAAATAATTGCGTGGTAGTTCTTCGCCTTGTTGAATACTTGCTTCCGATTCGGTAAGAAAGGTGCAAAAATTTTGCAAACTTTGACATTCAAGGAACAAATTGAACGATATACTTTTAGAGTAAGGTGGCTCTTTAATTTTGTTGATAAGGGTAGTCGCAGAGATGGAATTGCCGCCGAGAGAGTAAAATGTGGAGGTCAGATTTATCCCAGACGTATTTGGGAGATGGAGAATTTTCGCCCATAAGGCTGCCATTTCGATTTGAATCGTAGTCCAGGGTGGGGTTTGTTCGACTTCTGAGGGATGCAGGTCGAGCAATCGTTTCCTATCGATCTTCCCACTGGTGGGTGTAATTGGAAACTCGTTCAGAATTGTGAGACTGACCGGAAGAGCGTACTGTGGAAGATAGTTCGCCAAGAAGCCCCGTACCCTGGAAACCTCGAAGTGGAGCGTAGAATCAACGTTGCGTTCAACTTTAGTGGTTGCATAGGCAAGAATTCTGTCAGGATTTTTTGCGCAGACTACGACCACTTGCTTGAATCCAGGATATTTTGCTAATGCAATTTCCACGTCGATTGCCTCCACGCGATTCCCCGCTATATGAGCGGCATGGACATCCCGTCCAATAATTTGCAGGTCGCCATCAGCCCTCCACATGGCGACGTCACGAGTTCTGAGCAAGCATCCTGGCCCGTATGGATTAGTAGTGAAGGCATCCTTCTCCATGTCTTGATTAACAAATTCCTTGGCGAGGCACACCCCACCAATAAATACTTGACCGAGTTCATCAACCTTACAAATTTGGAGAGAAGTTGGGTTCAGCACAAAGATCTGCGTGTTGGGTAACGGTTTTCCCACTGAGAGGGATAACGTTTGACCCGGCAAATATTTAGAACAGGCCTGAACGATAGTAGCTTCTGTTAGACCGTACCAATTTTCGACTGTGAAGGCGATATCCTTGGATAATTTCAGACCTTCGAATTGAGGATAAAGTTCACCAACGTAGATCAAGTGTCGCAGTGGTAGATCGTGCTTGGACTCGATCAGATGGTGCGCGATTGCTGGCGGAACCATGACAAAGTGGAGTTTTTCGGTTTTGATAAATGTTTCCAAGGCTGTAAGATCTGGTCGGATTTCCATCAGTGGGATTACAATGGTGCCGCAGGACGTGAGGAATGGCCACGTCTGCAAGAATGCGGCATCGAAAGAGGGGCTGCTGTAGAATAGGGCGCGGGTTTTGTTTTCCTTCAAGGAGTGGAACGTCCATTGGAAGGTGACACAGTTGATAAGGGCCTTGTTGGAGAGAATAACGCCTTTTGGGCTACCCGTACTTCCAGAGGTGTAATAGCATATGGTGGCCGTATCCGGTGCGGATTATATTTTGCCAGTAGTAGATGTTTCTTCAACAAAAAGGTAATTTTCGAAGTCGATATCCTGCAAGGTAATTACGTCATACTGTCCAACTAGTTGGACGATATTTTGTTCCCTTGCCACTATGATGAGAGGGTTTCCCAAATCGGTCAGTATAGCTTGTACCCTACTAATTGGAGCGGACGGGTCCAATGGCACAGTAATCAGCGAACATTTCAAAGTTGCAATTTGAGCAAGGACAAAATCCATGGATTGTGGAAGGAAGGATACTACGAAGCGATTTTTTTCCAAATTTCTCGCCGTGATCACACCTGCCAACACTTCGGCAGCACTGTTTAGTTCTTCGAACGTCATCTGGTGTTCCCCTTGCTCAACAGCTATCTCGTGCGGGGTACGTTGGGTCTGATCTTCAAATTCTTGAATTAATGAGGTATCAGGAATCCGTACGACAGGCCCGTTTGACCACTGGAGTATTTCATTAGCGGAAGTCTTATTTTCAAAGGTTCCACAGTGACGAGGAAGTCTGTCATCCCGGAATTGGAGCTTTTTCTTGTCAATTTTGCCGTTTAGGGTTATCGGCATGTTATCCAAGAGAATCAATTTGGTCGGAATAGCTGGCAAGGGAAGTATGTTTTTTAATAGTTTTGCAACCAATTCTAACGTTACTACGGCATGCGACGAGGCACCCTTCTGCCTGGTGTAGTAGGCAGTGATTGACATTGTCGTCTTGTCAAATATCGCTGCAGGATTAGAAATGCCAGGAATTTTTGCTAGTGCATCCTCTACAAATCCGAGTTTTACAGTATGCCCACAAATCTTGACTTGGTCATCGGTCCTACCAACTATTTGAATTGTGCCGTCGGCTCTCCATAAGCCTAAATCACGCGTTCTTAGCAGCTTTCCCATTTTGGACGGGACGAACATGGCTTTACTTTTTTCTGGATTTTTATAATACTCCCCAGCGACCCCAATTCCGCCAATGTAAATTTCCCCTTCCTCCCCAATCTCTGTAAATTTTACACCATCTTGTTTAACAATGAAGATGTTGGTATTCGCAATTGGACCTCCGACAGATGGCACAAGTGTTTCGCCTGGTAGAAAAATTTTTGCAGCCTGAACTACACATCCTTCCGTTAACCCGTACTGGTGGTCGATTTTAAACGTTAGTTTCTCCGACAGCTTGAACCCATCCATGCTGGAAATCCATTCACCTCCAAACCCCAGCCATTTTAAGTGGGTGAGGTCGCTCTTGTCCAGAAAGTGAAAGGCGACTGTGGGAGGGAAAAGGGCTACTGTGATGGCTTCCTGTTCAATAAATTTGTGCAAAGCAGCCATATCGGTTCGAATGTTGGGTGGTGGGATCACTACAGTTCCACCGGAAGTAAGAAATGGCCAAGTTTGATTGAATACGGGATCAAATCCCGTACTGAAATAGAAGATTGATCGTTCCAAGGTGTCCTGAAGATTGTAGGTTTCCCACGATAGATTAATTATATTTCGTAGGGCGGCGTTTGATAGGCGGACACCTTTCGGTTTTCCGGATGATCCAGACGTGAAAAGGAGCAGATTTGTATCGCGCGCGGTGGAAGCAGGACGGGGCACTCTAAGACTATCCTGTTGTAAAGTATTGTAGTTAAGATCGTCTAAATATAGCATGGTAGCCTCCCCGGGAACTTTAAACCTAAGTGGAATCGACTTCCTGGTTATCAGCACTGGTCTAGGTAATAAGGCTATGTTTCTGGCCATATTTTCAGAAGGAGTTGCAGGATCCATGGGCGCATGGATAAATCCAGATTTGAGGATGGCAATTTGACAAGTTAGGAAATCAATTGATGCGGGAAGCACGGTGACAACGAAGCTTTCGGTATTATCGAGTTTATCAAATAATTTGATAATCGCGTTGCATACAATTTCCGCCTTTGTGTTGATTTCTTCATACGAAATCCGTTCGCCTCCATATTCTTCGATGGCAATGAATTCACGGGATCTTAGCACCTGCTCCTCAAATAATTCGATGATCGGAGTTTCCCAAGAACATTCAAACTTCGGCCCGAAACTGACACCTGGAGCCTTATCGATTTCAATTTCCTCCATCTACAAGACAAACAAAGTTTATTCATTATCCCCGAAAATATATTCGATTTACGTTATAAATAATGTACAGAAGTAGGCAACGCATTTCCTCCTGTAGAGTAGATTAAAATGGATAAGTTAAAAAAATATTGGAATATTGGAATGGAAAGGTTTACGGCTTTTCCAGTCAGAAGAGAATTTTCTTTTTAATGTGCAACATTTTATTTAGTTTCAAATACGGACATTTTAGTGTACGATCGTTAAGATTTGTTAAATGATATGTGATTTTCACAATATCCCTTCAAGCACAATATACATATTCTTTCCATATTCAAAAAACTTATAACTGCAAACTCGAAAAAATAAAAAATTTACCAGACATAATGTTGCTAATTAATTTTCATTAAAACGACATAAAATTCTTTTATGATTATGCAAAGAGAGTGCAAACTGCACATGCGCGCATCCAAACCTAGAATTTTCAGCTGGAACTTCATTTAACTTTTCCCTAAATTCCTAAAGGAATCGTATCTATGGCTTCTATTTTTTTATGCCAGAGCGATAATTGGATGTAAAAAATTCTCGATTTAGTATACAGTCTATATGGTAGTTTATATAGTATAAATAATAACGTGTTTACTAAGCTATGTCAAAATATATTTATTAAACCCCACCTTTTTAGTAAAAAAAATGTGCCTTTCACTAGTTCTAAATTCCTCGACAGTAATCTGGAAATATACAGAAAATCTGTATCTGTATTCACTTGTTAAATATGGACTTGATGCGCATTAAAATTATAGCCGATTTTGGTTCATGTTGTAAATTTTGAAAATCTAAAACTAGGCTATTTATTGGCTAATGTTCAAAGTTTGACCTTTTTATGCAGAACTGATTCTTATCTATCGTAAAACAAGTGAATTTTAGAAATCGGTAAAGAAATAGCAGAGTTTGAGAATTTCAAAATTTTCTAGATAAACCAAAATTGGGTATAATTTTAACGCGATACCATAGGTTGCACGGACTTCTGATCGACTACCAACTAGTACCTGAATTTTTGGCTGATTTAACGACAGAGGAAGAAGAATGGAAGTAAGTACAGGCATGTTTTATTGTATAAAAATATCCTAAATCTTAAAAATGCTTAAAATATCCTCTGAGAAGACCAGGAAGACCTGCTCACGTAGATGTAAACTTATAGTTGAAACATAACAAAAAGTGGTCAGATTAATATCATTACATATTTAAACTAAGAACCAGTTTCTTATCAGGCAATGCACAGGCCTATGTCGTCGCATCCTGGATTTGTACAGTGCTCCAGGAATCACAGCGGAGTGTGATTTATTGTGATTTATTAATCGCAATTTAGCAAAATTACATAGTTCATGTATTTATACCGCCAAATTGAGACCATTAAAACCAAAATAAATCATAAAAATCTAAGTAGTCATAGAAATCATTTATTCTGATCATCACAAATATCACACAAAAAGTCACAGAACAATTTACCAAGACCAGCTAATCAATCATGATGAATAAATTCACAGTTTACACTTCTGAAATTAAATTATTGCTGCTGAATTTTCAATAATGCCAGAAATTTAAAATATTTGTCTAATTTCGACCCCTGGAAAAACCCTTGGAAAAAATATAATTTCGTGATACTGAACAGATCAGAGATAACCTGACCTTAAAATGACATCATTAGCACGAGGGTTAATGTGTTTTTTTAGGTGGTTGGCAATCAAAAAGAACAAAGGTCTTTCTTCTATCGTCCATCCTTGAGCACCTTTCAGTTTCCATCAAATTTTTATGCTCTGCACGGATTCATATATTGCGAAATATATATGAAAATGAAGTCAAACAAGGATATTTCTCACCTTAACTTTAAATATTTATTTATATACGTTCACAAAACAGAGTCTAGCTCCGCATGCGTCAAAACCCAATTTGGGCAGTGTCCCGGGCAGGGTTGTTTTTTTCAAGTGCAACCCCTATATTTAATTGTGCAGAATTATACGTACATTAATACATCTTTCACATCCATACACCCAAACTAATTTTTTCCTTAATCAAACTCATAAAAAAATTATTAGTCGTGCCATCCCAGTCGCACGTGATACCAGAACGACGCAATTATTGCCAACAAATGGACACATGCATGCACAGAAATGGCAAGCAGACGCGAAGTCATACAACATGTAGCTAGTGACGCAAGTAAATATTCAGCTAACGAGGATATGGTTGTCTTCCTTATTATTTTAGATAGTGCTCGCCGCCGCACTTTATGCAAGATCAAAGTGTTAAGGGGATAGTGTAACATGAGGAAACTGTGGAATAATGTCTCCACTCTTCCGCAGTCATTGATTTTGGGTATCGAATGTACCCGACTTCCATCCAGGGATTCAACCTTCGTTCATAGAAAGATTGCTCACGTCCCTGGCGACACATATGTTATAACAAAGGAATCAAATTAACGAGTTAAAACAAATTTTGTGTTATTGTGGAGGACGGAAAATCACGAATTGTTTTCGTATTTTTTTACGTAAGGTCTTCCCTTAATTGAGGCAGAAATCATACTAATCCGGTCAGCAATATCTGCTACATATCTTGTTTTTAATAGGGCTCACCACGGGACGGGACGAGCCGGGATTTGGTCATCCCGTCCCGTCCCGATATCTCTATCGGGACAAATAATCGGTACGGGACGGGACAAATCTTTACACCGTCCCGTCCCGAATCCCGTCCCGACCCGTCCCGATCGGGACGGGACATCCCGGTATAACAGCTTTGAAATGCAAATGATATGAATTAAAATATTTTGAGCAAATTAAATTAATTCATACAACAAAAAGCAAATTACGTAACATGTAACAAAGATAAAACATACATTGTGCTAATTAAAGCAGGTTAACCAAATATTTTGTTATAACACACGCTGAAATTTTAGTCATAAAATTAGAATTATTTTGATACCCAGGCTTTCAAACACAAGCAATCTTAAACAGTTTCGTCAAGCATTAATTTCCGGTTGCAATCCAGTAAGGATTTACATTGTCAGTGTCATCGGTTGAAATGTCATGTCATGACATAAATGTCAGAATTGTGTAATAAATGTCATAATTCTAAAAACATTGATATTTATGGCATGACAAATTGTCATAGAGAAAAATTTCTCCAAGGCTTTGCTTTAAATTTTTCAAATTGTCATTTAGCTTGTATTTTTTCACGATACCTACTACATAATTTACTTTGAACAAACAAATCCAGTAATAAATTACTTTTGTTGCTCAATTAGAAAATTTAAATTAGGAAATGAATTATAAAAGTCATATTTGTCAATTTTTCATAAATGTCAAAATATAGACATATATGACATAAAAATAAATGTCAGACATTTATGGCAAATATGACATATCAAATATCATGACAATGTAAATCCTAGTAAAATAATCTTTTCATCGAAATCCCATTGCCACTATTGTAAATTCCGGATACAAAAAAATATTCCGGGGTAAAATAGAACTTTCGGGATGTCCCGTCCCGGTCGGGACGAGCCGGGACGGGACGTCATTTATCCCGTCCCGAGACCCGACCCGTCCCGAAGTCAATCGGGACGAAAAATCCTATCCTGTCCCGTCCCGAAAGAGCCGTCCCGACGGGACGGTACGAGATCATCCCGTCCCGTGGTGAGCCCTAGTTTTTAAGCGTTGGTAGTAAATATTTTGCTGCGGTAAAAGTGAGGTAATATCCTTAATTAATGAAAATAATATCAATTGTTTCCTGCGGTTGAATTTTCATAACACGTCCGGCATTATTATTACAATTATTATTATTACTTTCCAATAAATTGGCGAGTGGAACCATATTAATTAACTTTAGAAGATTATCATTTTTCAGCCCAATTGTAAGAAGTTGGTTCAAGACATGGATCCTACAGCTATCGCCCTGTGTGATTTTAAAGGACAAATTGCCAGTATATAAGCAGACTTATGGTCTGTGCATTGTAACGAGATCAAATCCGGGTTACGTTTTTGTCGGACTTTGGGTATTTATGTATGTCGGACACCAGTATAAAGTCCGGAAGTCGGGCGGAACGATTTGAAACATCACTTCCATGTTATATTTTTATTTTTTATAATCAGTTTTTTTAACTGGAAGAAAAATCTGGCAGAAACAGATCCTCCGTTAAGATAATTAACATTTGTTGCAGTAAATACTTAATATAAAGGTATTATAAAGTCGCCGAAATTTTTTTTGCCACTTCCGGTCAAAAATGTTGGCGACATAAAGTGGAAAAAATCACTTTTTGCGAGCACTATTTTCCATTTATTTACCCTATTCCAGCGAAACCTTCTGTCGCACGAATTTATTGAGAACCTAAATAATTTCAGTATTAATTCGTACCTGCCGCGTCACCCTTTAAGCAGAATTTTATCTCATTTCAATGCACCGTGTGTAACATAATTATGTCCACTCTAACAATATTTTCTTGACAGAGCACGATTTGTCAAGATTTAAATGTATCTTTGATGACCAACTATTGCTCGGATTCCTTAACGGAAAAAAATTCGACGTTAGCTCAGCGCTGGGATGTGTCAGTACAAATAAAAAATACTTTTGTGCAATTTCAATTATAATGATTAAACTAACTTTTAGCTCAATGACTATGTCTACGTGAGGACAACAAAACATCAAACTTGGACAAAGACGAACCTACTCCCATCCGTTGTGACGTTCCCGTTAGGAAAAAGATTCAACATTTTGAAAAACAAGGATGTCAAAGGAAATCTTGTTGTTATAGATTCGGGCAGTAATTCTGATACAAATATTACTATGGTTGCTGCATTAAGACCAGATCAAAGTCTGCAATAGACATCACAGCTGGATAACCTCCCATGCATTTAAATAGAGATAACTGATTCGCTGGGGCAAATCCACCCTGAAAAGGAGACTTTCATAAAAGTGTTATGCTCTTCAAGTCTGAGGTGTCTAAAAATAGAAATGGGACAAAATGAAGCAAGGCCACTTATTTGTGACAAGTTAGGCTTCACGTTACACCCAGTGTATGAACAATGGTTGTATTGATATGGCTAAACGAAGAATTCCATGCTCTTAAGATACCCCTATTTCCGCACTATAGGTGTTCCCACGAATTTTTTTCATATCATATCATATAAACCTATAACATATCCAAAGGGGGTAGAATTTTGGAACATATATATGCCATAAGACGGCTTCCTTAGAAATATTATAAATTTAAAACATGCGGTCTCTTAAAAACCGCAGTGCACCTTTGGACAATTTATCGGGTTTTATTATCCATTTAATTCGCAATTTTCCCTTTAGGATTATAAAATTTATAGTGCAGACTTTGATCTTGTTTTAGTGCACAGACTATTAACCGTGGTTCATAATGCAATCAATTCATTTTATTACATTCAGATCTATGGCACACGACTAGTACAACTTACGATGAAATACTAACGGAAATGTTGTTCGTTGCGGATGAACTGATCAGAACATACTTGGTAGACTCGGAGAGCAATGAGGTCACCCTAATTTGTGACGGTGAAGGACTTAGTATTCGCCATTCCTTGATTAGGACTCCGTCCCGAGTAATGAAGATGATGGATTTATTATTGGTAAAATATGGCTTTGGCCTTATCGATCAAGTTTTTGTAAAAAAGTTTAGTAGCAGATACGAGTAATTGTTGTCCAGGCAGTGTTCCAACCGTGATTAGCACAATTTAAAAAATTAATATTCAATGTGATTTTTGTGGTTTGTGTCATTTTAATGGTCGCCATCCAGCAGGGTATATGGAAGCTATGTAGGGGATAGTTCATTAGTGGTGGCCTAACTTAGATAAGTAGATATACCTGTGCGAAAATTCAAATATTACCAAAGCCTCAAGCTATCCATACATACGAATGTATGACGCTCTAGATTGGCAGATTTAAAAAAACATACCAGGCCTCTCGGTATCACAATCTACACGCAAAGTGATTAGAATTATCTCCAGGATTTTCTAGAAGTAGTCCTCTATGTCAAAAATTCAAGAAGGACATATTTATTTATTATGATATCAAAAAGCAACTTTGCATTTGAAAGGCCGAATGAACAACGTCTTGAAATTGCTATTTGGTGACTATTAAAATAACGATATACAAATATCACTCCTATCTGATTGATATCACTGTAAACAGATTTCGGGAACACTGTATACGGCCATCAACTAACCTCAAATCAGAATTGCATCAATTTATTAAAAACTCATGGACTATTAATTATTTGATGATTTTTATATGCAATTGAAGGTTTATTTGCAGAAAAGTGTACCTATTCGACCTGCTGGGATTCATCTAATTAACGCTGGGCCAATTATATCCTTTTTATCCCGAATTGCGACAGGCTTTCTCCCCGAGAAAATCCGCCAAAGGGTATTTTGTCACAGCAACTTATTTAGAGAATAATAGACATGGGATGCAAAGGTGCCTGCACCGCCAGTCATATTAAAGTCACATCCGAAAGTAGTTTGTTCGTCATATAGTACCGTCAAGGCGACATAAAAACACTAAAAAAATTTTAGTACCATAAAAAACCTGCCTCTAACCATGGGCAGTTGCCTCAAAAATTTCGAAATTTGACAAAAACTTCCCATCTTCCTAGAGATATTTGTGGCCCTGGAAACCCTATCATAATCAAATTTCAGATATTAACCTCGCTTAAGGCTAAACCCCAAGTATTAAATTTATATTTAATCCCTCTTTTATATCTCTCTTCTCATGGTTCCAAATTTCCAAATAAAAATGATTTTTTTGATAACGCCGTGTTTGAGGAACCTGTTGAATCAGAGGGAGGTTTTTTTGGTTACCGTAATATGTAATAAAAAATTAAGGTTTTTAGGTCGTCTTCTCGAATAAAATAGCGAACAAACTAAATTCAGAAATAGCTTTGGTATATTGAGAAACCCGAGACGGTGCAGAAATCTTGACAAGTATCGCGTATAGAATACATTAATTGAGTATTATTACAGGTTTTCATTCATCCAAATTTGCACAGTCTGTATGAACATGTCCCAAAATCCATCCTGCCGGCTGGAATTGGTGGTGCCTTAAGCAATGAGGAAGCCATTGAAGAGGATTTGGGACAAAGGATTGAACACCGAGACGAATTTTATCGGCTGATGTTCAATATGTAAATATCATGGTGTATATCAAGAAAATATTTCCTTGCCTTGCAAAAAAAAACATCAATTTCATGTCATGTGCTCGAAGATATCATTTATAAAGTAATTTACACTTGTCAAATTGTAAGTATACAGAAGGGGTTACTTAAATACTTAATAAAAATTAATTAATTTTTGGCATTAAAGTCTTAATCAGTTTTTCGGGTGCCACTAGCCACGTTGTAAGAAGCGACTGCAATAGAGTGGATCATTTCTTTTTTAACTGCAAGAAACGCATGGGTGCAATAAAATCTTTCCATTACAGTGGTTAATAGAGCATGTTCCTACACGCCGTTTCGATTTCTTGCGCCTCTTGGGTTTCTTGCATCACAGGATTCTTGCCACGGGCACCAAAAATAGGTAAGTTAGTATACATTATACTATATTTAATAATAGTGAAGCGTATTAAATAGTTTCCTTTAAACGATCAACGCTATTTTCAAAAGGAAAGTATACTGGAAACTGATTGCATAGAGTGAATTTATGTATATGCTGAAGAATTTCAGTCTTTGTAACAAACACTTACCTCGAGATTTTGACCACCCATAAACACTTCGTGGTTAGGTTAGGATGAATTTGGCAACTTACAAATCCCTGTTTTGGCACAGGCACACCTACGGACTTCTGTCATCACTATCATCTATACGGTCATAACAAAGCTTCCGAAATTTCTTCTCCGTTATCATTGAGCAAGGTTTACATACATCAGGGTTTCAGATTCTAAAAAACCCCGGGGTTTTGGGGTTTTTTAGATTTCGGGGCTAAATGCAACAGTAGAAATTGTGAGGCTTATGTATTATAAAAGTATTTATAATCAAAATATATAATAGTTCTTTATGATAAAGTCCCTATAATTTCAAAGTTTCCATACTGTTATCTCCAGTTTGCAAATTTATAAATTGGATTAAGATTTGAAGGACAGTAATTTGGGAAAATTAAACGCATGTAGCACACAATACTCAAAATAGTAAAACAGGACAAATTTAATAAATCGAAATAAGTTTATCGACCTATTTGACTAAAAATTTGAATAGGATATATTCCATGTAACCAAGTTTCATTTCACCCCAACACATTTAAAAAACCCCGATACCCCCGATACCCCAAAAAACCCCGACAAAGCTTTTTTTTAAAAAAAACCTCGGGGTTTTCCAAACCCTGACATACATTTTAAAATTTAAATAAATTAGATATAATTTTTTTGCTTCAAGTTATACTATACTAATCGAACATATGCAACACAACAGCCCAAATGTAAAGTCTTTTGAAAATTATCTTGTGAACACTTTAAAGTTTATTCAGTTTTACTTATTTCTCATTTAAAATACATAAGCCGACAAACTCATAATTATTTTTAAAGCCGTGCAGTGTGAAAATTACCACAATTTTTTTTTCTGGTGAAAAACCAGAACACTGATTATTAAAGAAGTCAGAAGTTTCAATATTACCGTATTTTTATTAGGTGAGGCAAAGCCGGAAAGCTGGGCCCCGTCTCAAAAAGCATATGTGAATATGCTCAAGTGGGGCCCTGCGAAGCATAAGACTGCATTCGTGCTTGGTGCTGGAAAACTCTCACAAAGTTTCAGCCAAAACGATGCGTCTAATCTAAAAATGACAAGAGGCAAAATCTTTACATAATTCTCTAACTTAATTTCCTTTTTCTTCAAATTTTGAATTCTGTGCGTCTTTCTACTAGAAATTGAATTTTCAAATTTTCAAAATTCAAAAGTCTGATAAAAATTTAAACTTTTAAATTAGCATAATTTCACAAATTAATGTCCTGAATATAATCTATTTTTCATCCATAACATGAGTTGACCTAAAATAATTATTGAATACGTGATAGACCAATTAAAGATTTTATGCAGTGTACTGTCAGAAGTAATATGTAGCTAAATGAATACAGTTCACACATGGTGCTATGGTAGTCGAGTGGTGTTGGGGCAGCGGGCTATACCCATGGGGTCCGAGTTCGAATCTCCTCAGATCCCAGTTTTTTTTGCAACTTTTTTTCGCATTTAGATTATGATTTTTCTATAAATTTTTCATAATTTAAATTTTAAATTTAAAATGTACTAATTTTTAGACCGAGGCAGGGCTTATGTGACCGTTATGTCTGGCCATCTTACGATAACTGTTTAAATTTATCCGATTGGGTTGAAATTTTCACCATATCTTTATGGGGTGAAAAAGTTCGAAGATTAGCCAAATCGGCCTAGCGGTTAACCGGTGGGGGTCACACATACAGAAGTACAGGTATTATTACCAAAATTTTAAATTGGTCGTGGAAAGCTGAAATTTGGTACAGAGGTCATTAATGGTTTCTAATGAAAGAATATGGAGTAAAATTTGGAAAATATTCATCTGGAGGTACCCGATGGGGAATCCCCCCAACGATTTTCATATATTATCCTAGAACCTTGAAATTTGCCATATAGGTCTCTGATTGCTTCAAATTAAACAATATGAAATTAAATTTTAAAAAATCACCCTGGGTCAGCCATACTGATTTTTTTAAGTTCTCCGATTCAGTTTAAATTTGATTAGGAGATTGCCAGGGTAGAATGTAGGCTCTCATTACCTTTAGTCAGCCACTTTTGGTCATTGATTACTTTTAGCCAGTTTTCACCGGCCAGTGGTAAAAATGACTTTGGCCGGCTGAAACGGAACACTTGTTGGTGAAGTGATGTCTAAAAATTAAACCCGAATAAAAACTAGGAAATAAATACTTTTACAAAAAAAGGAATCTTAGGTTCGGCATCGCGATAAAAACAAGAAAACAAGTTTATTGTAGGATAATAACGTCGCCGAAATATTAACTATAGTTAGCGAGACTAGCAGTATTTGCTGAACCGCTGGCCAATTACGTTCCGTGGTTATATTATTTTAGTACGGAAAATTTCGTTATCCATTTTGTGCTTTATCCATACAACATTAATTTTTCGTGTTCGTTCCTTTTCCTTGTAAATCAATTTGCTTATCAGGACTCACGATTCGCCAGTAAAACTAAGAATCAAAGCTAAATTTTGAAAATAATATACTTGCACCCAAATAACATGCGTAATTTTAAAATTAAGTTATTTCTAAGGATCTTATGTATTTGTGTACATAATCCGAATGTATTGCATATCATCAAACATGGGCCATATATTTACGTGTGGAGTATGTGAATGGATGGTACATAAAGTTGCTATGATCAATTTTATAGTTAAATTTTATGAACTCGCCAATAAAATCCTACCGGAAGATTTGTAAAATATTTGAATATATGTAGAGTCGTCTAGATAAAAATAAATATGTCATTAAGAACTATGTAGAGAAATTGGCCCGCGGTTCAGCAAATACTGCTAGTCTCGCTAACTATAGTTAATATTTCGGCAACGTTATTATCCTACAATAAACTTGTTTTCGTGTTTTTATCGCGATGCCGAACCTAAGATTCCTTTTTTTGTAAAAGTATTTATGTGTAGTGTAGTCCACACGTCCCAAATCTCGGAGATTTATCTGATATAAAGTAGGGCAGAACATATTTGTGCATGTCCATATTCTGAGCGTCCCAAGCTAGACGGATACCTGACAATGATACATTCTCAACTTTATTGTAGCTGATAGATTTACAAGTCAGACATGGTATGAACAGGGGTAAGTTGAGACTGTTCTCAAACAGGATCAGTATCGCAGTTCCAATTAACTCGGCTGCCCGTCTAAAGCATGCAGCATCGCGGTGACGAACGATTTGACCAAATACGTAATCCTGTCGGAATTCCTTACTAGCTATTTCAGTCAGATTTTCACACTTCAACCATTTGTCAAACCGTATCGTCCCATCTAGCGGAATGAAAATTGCTTGAGGTCGTGTCAATTTTTCCAGGGCGCGAAACTTGATCCTTTTGAATGCAATTATTTCCGTCAAGTTTAGGGTTCTATATGGTGTACTACAAAGGACAAACTCACGCAGTGGTGTGTAAGCGTTGGCAACCCTGACTGCATCAAAATAAGAAAACTCAACGTCCACATGGAAAACCTTGCCACACTCTGGAGAGAATATAAAAGTTAGGTCGGCATTTTGAAATACATCGCCCCAAATGCTCGATGCTTTTGAGATATCATAACACACTACAAATTCTGCAAATAGGACCAGGAACCATTGACGCAACATTGCGAAACTTGGCGGATTTAAGATCAATTCAAAAATGTACGTTGAGACCGCAGTAGGTTGTCTGAGTTAAAAGGGAATGGTAGTTTTTGATGTCGTAATGTTAGTTGTCGTTTGTCTACATATTTCTAAATTTTTCAATGGATATTCTACCAGGTAACTGAAACGAGGCGATTTGACATTCGGCGTCCAAGCAGCATGAATTTATATCCAACGATGCCGACTTCGGTGTGGTTGTCATACTTATCTATTGGCTTCGCAGAAACGGGTCAATTAATTTCGCGATTACTGCGAATCGATCAATATTTATCCACTAGAGTATTTGTTGGTGCCGGTGGCACCAAACCCGTTCAAGTAGTGAGTGAGCCACCACCATGCGAGAGACTCTGTCTCTCGCATGGTGGTGGCCGCCCGACTGCCCGTCCACACATACTATCCTTCCAATGCTAAGCTCGCCAGCATTGCGGGATGCGTTTGGTACAGACAGACAGACAGACAGACAGACAGACAGACAGACAGACAGACAGACAGAACTTGCCTAACATATAAGTTAATTATTATAGACCTTGCAAGAAATTCTTTGACATCCATTTTACCACCATTATTTCGTGGCCGTTGTCACGTACATAGGCTACCTATTTACCTGACCACGACGATTACAGCAAGTAAGTAATTCGATTTCTTAATTATTTTGTTTTATAAACTATATATCGAGTTGATGCTCGTTATGTATTTCTCATTATGGATTTACATATACGCAGTTACTACTCTTCTCAGAAGTAGCGTGACAAAATACATTGGAAGCTGATGGCATCCAATTTAAGAATACTGACACAGCACAGAATGATCAAGCACAATTTTAAAATATATCAATTGCTTTCAGTCTTAAAGTGTTTATTACAATTTTTCCTAGAAATGCTATACATAATTGTTTATGCCTTAAAATTCCAAATTGTTTATTCAGCCGAGTATATTTAAGCTGGCGTTATAACAGTAATAAGTTTAGTAGTGTGTTCCAATTCTAGAATGTATTTTAAATTTTTTTAATGTTTACATTAGCCAAGAATAATTTTGGAATTTAGGATAACATGGTAGGATTAATGTTAGATAGTTATATATTTCTTGTGACTTTCCATGATCAGTGTACTGATTAACAAGATATAAATTATTCATTGACAATCATACGTAGAGTTTTCTAATAAATTAGGTCTATACTCAGCAGTTCGTGTAAACTGAAAAAATAAAGTTTTTTTCAATGAATCACAGAGATTTTAAAATTTCACTCATTTACCCACATATATGGTCCCATCTATCAATTCCATCTCTGATAAGCTCCTCCATTGCATTGGTGCGTGTAGACGTGTCCATCCCCATTGCTGTCTAGACATCCCAACGTGCCCCCACTTTTGAACTGGCCCCCGCTAATACTCCACCTTTGATATTTGCCCCCATTGCACTGCCCCGTGTAGACTTCCGTCTTCATGTTGCTGTCGAGGCACATCCCTGTCGCCACGTTGCGGACGGTACTATCCTTGTAGAGTTGCCATTGTTGAAAATTTCCGCCGTTGCAGGACATTGCGTTCACCCGACCGGTGGTGTCGCTATCGAGGCAGAATCCCGTCGCAGCGTTGGTAAGGCGGCGAGATTCTGCGGAGAAAATGGTCGCAGCGAGGAGCAGAAGGGTGGAGGGCAGGTGGAATTGCATGATTGTTTTTTTTAGAGTATTGTTAAATTTGGAGTGAATAACTAATTAGTCTGGGTTTCTCTTTAATATGAGAGGATTCTAGTTCACTGGACTGTTTGCGGTTCCAATGGAGAGCGTGAAGGCAATTAAATGTGATAAATTAATATTGTATAAATTTCTCCATAAATAAATAGCTACAAAGGTATAATTATAATAAAATGAATTTGAATGGGCCATATGTTAACCCAAGCATGGTTAAATAACTATTTCGTAGAATTTTTTAATGACATGTTACATATTCATCGTATCTGAGAATTAATGAATGTTCTAAATAATTACTAGGGTGTCGGTAGGAAATTCAATTAGGGTCACGTACAACGAGGTTAACGGTTGGGAACAGGTTTCTTTCTGGAGCTGTCGATTTAGATTTAGCTACAGTATTCCTTGCATCAATTAGTTGAGTTGTCCAATATAGGCGGGTTAAATATTTCGCGCGTTTGGGTATGTTCTTATTTAAATTTACATGCCAAATCTTGTACAAGTATTTACCAAGTTGATTACTGTTATTTCGCCTAAGTAATATAATCCTTCTTATATTTCGGCATACATACATATTATGAGTTTAGTCCTTTTACGCACCTTAAATTTCATATTTTTACCATATCGTATGAAAACTCTAACCATTAATGTATTAATTTCGTAGGGTGGATTATGTATACATCCAAATTTCAGTGCGACCACATTGGACTATTTGGTTGCGTTACGTCATGTTAATCATATACACGGGAATTTCCTTTATAAATATGCATGCTTGATATCAAATTTCTCCCAGAGTCCATCATTGCATTATTATCTACCAATATACTTACGCAGGTTGGGAATTTTTGCTAAATAAATAATTTCTTCATTGTATTTATGCAAGAGTGATCAATTTATTCCAATAATATTTTCTGGCTACGTGCACAATCCATCCTTCCCTGGGGAAAGTAGTAGTACTTACATACCCAAGATAATACATAAGTCGCAATTTGAAGTATTAAACTTTTGTCAGTTCGTAATAAGATTAAGGACTAATGCAATTTTATGCCGAACCAATGGCTAATATACCCGTGTTGTCTGTCCATCGGATCAAATGAACACGATGTAAACGTTGTATATTAATCTATATTGTATTAATTGTATTAATACCATCCAATAGACTTAAGCAGGTTGGGACTTTTTCTAAATAAATAATTTCTTCATTGCCTTTATGGAAAAATCATAAATTTATCCAAATAATATTTTCTGGCTATCTGCAAAATCGAACCTTAACCGAGGAAAGCGCTAGTAGTTACTTATCGTAAATAATAAATAAGTCAAAATTTGATGTCTTCAACTTTTGTCGATTCCTAATGAAATTAGGGATTAATGTAATAAGCCCTTATTAGCCCGAACCAAAGGCTAATGTACCCGTAGTGTCTGTCCGTGACAAGCCACTGGACGAACCAATGAACTGAGCTGACCAGTGTTACCTATTTCCCAGTTTATTTTGATATTTCCCATCCCACCTGGGAAATAGGTGGGAAATAGGGGAAATAGGTGGGAAATATGGGAAATAGATGGGAAATAGGAAAAAATGTAGAATATTTGAAATTGTTATATATGTAAGAACTAGTGGGAACAGGAATTACTACAATTAAATATATGCATTCACAAATAATTTAATCTTTGTAAACACTTATTTTTATCTTTATTTAACCGGTCTAACAAAAAATTTGGTATTATGTGATTAATATTGTTTAATCTTGTGAACTAAGTTTCTGTGAGTAATTTTCGTTTTCGAGTAAGTTTTGATTTGTCTTCAATTTCCTTTCTCAAACCTCGGAAACAAAATGCTAATTTCATAACTTTTTCTTGAGAGAGTCGATTGCGCTTACCTGTTTGAATAAATCCGTAAGTTGAAAAGACTCGTTCTACAGAAGCAGTGCTAGACGGGCAGTTGAACATGGACACTAAGAGTTGCACAAGTTCTTTAGGAATTGCCTCCTTGTGTTGTAAATTCGTCCACCAAGTGGCAGGATGAGATTCCTTCATTACAGTTTCATTTAAAGACGCTTTAGGGAATACAGTTTGATCCTTTGCCATGAAACTTTGAGCAGTGGTTACAAAGCTAGCCCCCTTAAATAGAAGGAAATCGGAGGCATCATCTCGCTGTTTAGCAGATCATAATTTCCCTGCATTAAAATATAATATTTAGTAAATTAAATACGGCATGATATTAAGATTGAATTTTAATTATCTTAGAATTTTAATTATTCATACCTTGATAACGAGGATGGAGCAAATAAGCTACGAAGAAGAATGGAGCAATGGCTAAGTTCATTCTAGAAATTACTTTGTTCTTATAATTCGAAAACGTTTGGCTGTTATAGAGTGTGAGCCAAGAATGGACGGCGTCAGCAATGTTTGAACTATCAGACTGGAGCTGTAAATAAATAAGAGATTTTAGGTACCGAAATTTGTTATTTAATACTAATTCGACTACTTTTAATAATTCCACTGATATTTCTTCCATTTATGCAAGGACGTCTGTAGCATTTCGGAAAACCGGTAAATTATTAACAATTTTGATTACATTAGCCGGACACACGCCAACATCCTGAGCTATTTCGATATATTTTGTCCTGTTACTCAGAAAAACTCGAATACATTCCAAATGACTTATCCAGCGAGTTGATGCTGGAAGTTGTGGCTTCAGTCCGTTTTTTTCTTCCAAAAGAGCTGACGGCGTGTGATGATCACGAAAAAATTTGGAAACCTACGAAATTTTAGAATCCTTTAATTAAATTAATTATTTAAAATAATGGTTAAGTTTGCCAATAGTTGATTATGCTTGCCTCGTTTATCTTGCCTACTAATTCTTTGGGTGTAACATCCTCACATAGCTTATTCAGCATGTGGGGAGAGCATCCGTAGAGCAGTAAATTTTCGTGTTTCATTAACAAAATTTCTCGCATTTTTATCATAGTGGAGCAATTATCTGTTGATCCAGCAACAACCGTAAGGCCCATCTCTTGAACTTCATTCATAGCCATTTCGAATTTGTCGGCGCAATATTCTGCTGTTTTCTTCTCAGCTTCACAGTCTATTGTGTTTATCAAATAAGCTTCTCCATTACATACAACAGTGTGCGAAAGTGTTGGAGAATTGTGTATGTCACTCCAAGTTGGAGTGACATACACAATTCAAGACGGTTGGAGTCTCCAACCGTCTTGAATAAGGGTCCCAATGTGTCCCTTAAAATCATTCTTCATGTTTTCACGCAACTCGTCATAAATGGTATCCAACAACGGCCCTTGAAGAATGTGCTCACTGGGTGGTTCGTATCCTGGTCGCATTGTGCTACATAATTCACGCCAAGTCCCCAGATTGGCTGCGTTGAAAGAAAGATTTGCCGAGTACCAAAATTTAGCAACTTTGAGGTCAATTTCTTGCTTCTCCAGTTTTGAATGTGTGGTTCTTGTCACAAATTTGGTGATCTTCTTTTGATTTTGCACAATGATTGCATTTTCACATTTATTTCGTGGCGCATCTACTGATTCGATCAACTCCGTTCCAGTTTCTTTACGGAAAAAATAAATGGGAGTTATATAGCGTGTTAAATAAATTTTGTTTGAATAATAATTGACACAAAATACCTAAATGGTCCTTTCGATGAGTACATTTTTCTACGTGATTCCTTAATCGGTCGCTTTTCCACTGACAATGTTTCCACATTCTTTGCACTTTTGTATAACTTTTTGGGATCCATCGGAAGTAATTGTGATTTCTGTAAACATTGACCAAATGTTGTCCTTCTTTTTTCCACCGAAACGATATTTTTTAGGGTCTTGTATTGATCTATCGGATCCATTATCTTCGCTAAATTCGTCATCTAAATCCAAAACTAGGTTGCCTGACAATCCACCAACGTCGTCACTCATAATTAGTCTAGTAATATTTAAAAAAATAATCTGGTAAATGAGAAATATTGTAGATAAATTTATTAAAAATCTAGAAGCAATAATGTAGCAGTAATTTTACCTGAAATTTGTCGTCAGTTATGCTCTTTCTCAATTTCATATATTACTTTCAAAACGGTGTTATCGTAAATAAAGAATTAAATAGTTTGAGAGAAGTTAAAACACAATCTGATGATGAGAAAAGGCAAGAAAATCAAAGCACTGCGCTCAGATTTACTGACGGGGTTACATTAGATGATTCAGTATATAATTATAGCTATTTCCCAGTATTTCCCATTGAAACCGATATTTCCCAGGACGGGAAATACCACCTATTTCCCACCTATTTCCCAGTGTGGGAAATACCAGTCCGGAACACTGGAGCTGACTTTAACCAACTCGGTCTTAAAATGACCTTTGATGCTCTCAAATAAATGAGTTAACTCGGTTGAGAGGCTGACTGCTGGGGGTCAGATAGGTGGTGGAGGTTTGATGCACAAAAATTTCAATGTAGTGCTAGCATTCTGAAATTTGGCATGCAGATTCCTGAAAGCTTCCAATAAAATAGTATGAAGCAAAGTTACAAAATTTTTCTCCTTGAAAATTTTCCCCTATGGGGTCTACCCCACCGATTTTAAAATATTGTCCTAGATGCTCTAAATTTAATAAAGGAATGTGAAGTGAAATAGTCAAATACAAATTATTGTGTGATCCAAAAAAAATTACCTTTATTAATCAGGAGAGTTGCACTTATTTATACAGTACGTATTTAAGTCGGACAATCAAAACTACACATTATGTAGTTGGTAAACTCTCATGGTTCGGGCTATGCAAAGCTGTACTGGGAGGTTTTTTATTCAAAATCAATAACATATAGATTGTGGATAGCACAGTTATTAAAAACCCCATTTCAGGATTTGCAAACACAGTTTGTTTGTCATTCTCTTACAAAGAAATAGATAAGAATGATCAGGAAAATTTATTTTATACCCTATGTTGTCCCCAAGATTAAGAAACTTTTCAAAGTTTTCGTACCTCTTA